CCTAAACCCTAAACCCTAACAACCCAGACTCCACAAAGCCCTAGCAGAACCCCGCCTGAGCGTCGGGAAGTCGAAGACCAAGGATGGACTTAGAGCCATCTGGAACTCCTTGTTTTCCCAAGGGTCAGGGTCTAGGGTGTAAGGTCTAGGTTTTAAGGTTCAGCATTTAGCATGTAGGGTTCAGGGCTCAGGGCTTTAAATCATCAGTGCTTTCTATAAGCTCAGGTAGGGTTCCTCCCTAAACCCTAAACCCTAAACCCTAAACCCTGAACCCTAATCTTCAGAGGGTCCATGTGCTGCAGGGCTTTATGGCTCTGAGGTCCGACTCCTTACATCTACTCGAATCTACCCATAGGCCCCATAGTAGTTCCTTTTTGGGGTTCAGATTCTGAATCCTATAATGTAATCCCAAACAGGAACTACTATGGGGCCTATGGGTAGAAGCTCTAAGTACTTTGGTGTTCAGGTCGTAGATGGGCCCTGAGGGTGGCAATCTGTAGCGCGACCCCGCTTGAACTCTCGCAAAAGGCCCTAAACCCTAAACCCTAAACCCGAAACCGTGGGTTTGGGTCCAAGTTGACACGGAAAAATGCGTGGATCATTCAAGAACTCGGGCAGTTTGGGAGCAGAATTTTGAAGCTCGATTTGGAATACCTTTATGAGATGACCTGATGCGATGGAATAGCATATGATGCGATGTGATATGTTATGATATGACATGATATGACGAAGTATGATATGAGTTGACGTGATATGATCTTCTGACGTTGGACTTGTGGTTTTGTAGGACAGCCAGTTCAATGTCCATAGGGCCTGGGCCAAATAGTAACCCTAAGCCCTAAACCCTAAACCCTAAAACCCTAAACCCTAAACCCTAGACCCTAGACCCTAAACCCCTAAACCCCTAAACCCGTAACCCTAAACCCTAAACCCTGTAAGTCCCTAGCTCCGACCGTTACCTAAGAAAAAATCGGGGATGGAGGGCCTGCTCTCAGACGTTATGGCTTCGGAACGGAGGGTTTAGGGTTTAGGGTTTAGTTTAGGGCCTCAAAAAGAACTTGAGAATCACAATCTCACCTTGCGTTCAAGAAGGTGTCGTGAACGGCCCTGGATGACAGACATTATCTCATCTCATGGCACACTCTATGATGCTGTATTTTGGCACGGCATGCTAAAGGATAGCATGGTATGGCATGGTCATGGTATAGTTTTGTATCGTACAGTACGGTACAGTACAGTACAGTATCGTATCGTATCGCATAGTATAGCATAGAAAGTACAATATAGTATAGTGTACTATAGTACAGTATAACCAAGTAAAGTTTTATGATAGGTCGTATCACAATATATCATATAACAATTCACTTTGCTATGCTAAATCTTGTTATGTGCATTCGTTTTCATTATCTGGTAATTATAACCGACTATTACGGAAAGCACGAAGTACCATATCGTCGTGGACATGTTTGTTTCAGAGCGCTATTCACCGAGCTCAGGATCGTAGCGAATGAGGGCAGACTAGGCCGTGGATGAATGCAAGGCTTGGGGATAATGCTATCGTATGTGCTGAGTACCACAGGAGCATATCCTTACTAAGTATGCAGACCTGTCGAGCAGGAGTCCTTGGCGACCATGCTCATGAGTGCGACACTCGACAAACTGTCCATTCCTGGGCCGGTCATCCACTTCGAAATACTCAACCCGAGATCATCTAAAGATAGGGGTGTCGGGTTTCGGGTCTGGGCTAGAGGCTTCATGCTTAAGATCGGACACGACAATTCAAGCCCCAATGAAATTCTGGAAAACACTGAATGCTCTGCTCCGATACCTTTTGTGTGCCCGGCTTCGGGTACTTTGGATCGCGAGGCTGGCGTGGCACTGCATGCTTGGCAGCTGTACTCATGGGACCCAGACCGTGTGTGCACCGAAGGGTTTACACCTCAAACAGCCTTAAACTCTTGAGCTGCAAAGCACAGTTGCAAGTTAACCCTAAACCCTAAGCAAGTTGCGGCGGACGAAACAAGACGGCTACCTGCACCCCGAACAACTTCAGGTCGATTCGGCTTTCGGCGGTGCATGACCGCACCTGACTAAATCAAAGGAAACTACAGGTGGGGAGTTTAGGGTATATAGGGTTTCTATAAGGCTTCTATAAGGTATATAGACCTTCTGTAAGGCTCCTATAACGGTAGCTACCCACCTGAAAATTTCCTAGACTAAAGCAACTGTGCAGGTCCCAATCACTAACGGGATTTGCGCATGTCCAACTGACAAGAGGGCAGCCCAACCGAGCAGCCAAAACCATCTCAACCCCAGTACCAACAATCATGAACACCCTGACCGCGTAACAACGGCTGAAGAGAACGCTGAACATCTGCCAGTGCTACCGTATCTCCGGGTCCTTACCGTGCACGGTAAAAGCCAAAGCCGTGCCCTAAACCCAATACATCCCAAAAGCCTATGGCCTGCACGTTGGGGTGTGGTTTCTTTGCTGCCTAGCTTCCTGCGTCCATGAACGGACTGTCCAATTCGAGCTCGTCGTCGCTTGCAATGGCATCCTTGCGGTGGCTGCTTAAGGGTTTAGGCTTTCAGGCTTAAGTCTGAGGCTTACCCGATTTAGGATATACCTACAGACCTCAAGCCACAATCCTAGCTCGTTCTAGAGATCGCCGAGACCGAGACTTCATCTGATTTGTCAAAGCTTAAAGGATATAGGTTTCGATTGAGGGCTTTCGGACAGCGACAAAGTCTCTGCTCAAACCCTTAGCATCAAAATAGCCCAAAAGCCTTATATAAGAGGTTCTTTGGGCCCAAAAGCCTTATATAATAGGTTCTTTGGGCCCAAAAGCCTTAAAAGATGAGTCCGTAGAATCCTAGGGAAAGGCCTTCATCTCTTTCTGCTCCTGTCATCTTCCCCGAAGCTGCTCGCCCCTCTGTCTATTCCATCATGTGGGTAGTTCTCTAAATGAGGGTCCCTTTTTTGGGGGTCCTTTTTATAAGGGTGCCGTACTATATTGGGGACCCAAAAAGGGACCCTAATTTAGAGAACTACCCATGTGCTTGCTCGCGAAGACGTGCGTCACCATCTCTTCTGACCGACGGAGCGCGTCAATCAAAAATCCAAGCCAGTCACCACCGGTACCGGGACGGCGGCCCTAATGGGCCCTCCTGCGTATACGACAATGGGGTTCTGGGTTTAGGGCTTCGGGTTTAGAGCCTGGCGATGCGAAGTCCAAAACCTAGAAGCCTATAACATCAAGCAAACCCATTTGTAGAGTCGTTTACCAAGCTATGACTGAGACATTGTATACACGTCTGGCTCTAAGGTAACTATGCAGGAAACCCTTGCAGCAACGCTTTCGAGCCGAAGTCCAGTACAGGTACATGGACTCTTGTGGAACCCATTACTGATCAAAAACACTACATTGCCTATATATAAACTCATCCTGAAAACCTGACTATAACTCCAATCCCTATACGAATAGTAGTCTCTGGCCCCTTTTGGATAAAGTGACAACCCAAGAGTAGATTTTCGATTCCCCGGTTTACCGTCTTATGAAGAAACCCGCAGCGCAAAACCCTCAAATCACCTAGGGGCCTTAATAATTAGAGTAGAGTTTCGGGGTTCATTATACTATATGCATACAGTAATTGATGAGGAACCCCCCAAAAATAGTATTGGTTTTAGGGGGTTCCTTATTGTGGCTCTAGTATCATATACCCCCAAACCCTATTCATAACGGTTAAGGCCCCCGTAGTAAGCACCCACTCCTGAATTAAAGGAAACTAGAAGTGGGGAGTTTAGCGTATATAGGACTTCTATAAGGCTTCTACAAGGCATATAGACCTTCTATCAGGCTCCTATAACAGTA